CTTGGCAAGTCATTTTCCCTCCTGAGGCTCCAGGCTCCTTGGGGGCTAGACTAAATTTAGGTGAGTAATTTGCTTTTTTAAGGATTAAAAATATCTCCTTCCACTTTTCTCTGACAGTTATTCCCTCTTCCTTCCCACAACAACTGGGACAGCATGGGTAGGGGAGACAGAGGGATAGCACAGTCCCCATGAAATGACAGCACACTGGGGGACCTGGGAAGATTCTGGGATAAAGGTGACTGAGAACAGGAACCAGACCTGCTCAATAAGGGATGGAATTCTGCCACTTAACATCCGTGTGACTCTGCATTGCAGTTTATCCCCAAGAAACAGCTTATCACCAAAAGAGAGAAGAAAAGAGCCAGCAGTAAAGTCTCATTTTTTTTTTAAATTTTAAAGAGGGTAAAACTAAACATAATAAAACAGATCAGAACAAAACAATGTAAGTGACACACATTTCAAAGCAAGACCACAGATCATCACTGTCTATCATATTGTCTTTTGTTTTCTTCTAAATAGTTGTTCATATCTTCACATACAATAAATTCATACAAAACAAAACAAAATAGTATTAAACTAATCAGAACAGAGTAATGAAGGCATTATAGGCCTTCAAAAGCAGACAATAGGAAAATCAACAATGGCTGCTGTAATGTTTCTAGTTTTAGTTCAAATTAGGTGCACACATCTTCAGGTATGTTGAAATTAAATGACACAAAAAAGGCTAAAACCACTCTGAACCAAGAATAATAGCATTATTGGATTTCACAGCATGATGATACTGTGTATCCACAATGGGTACCATAATGTCTGCTTTTCTTCAAAGTTGCTGTCCACTTCATTATGCATATTATAATCGATTCTCATAAACTGTTTAGGGGAAGTTCTAAGCATGTGTAAGCCTCTATATGTATACCTATCTTTTCTGTATTAGAGGGAAAAACAAAGCAAAGCAAAACAAATTACTAGAAAAACACGGAACAAAAAAGACACATAACAATGGCAAAGAGCCCAAAACAATGACGATATAAGCCTTCAAAACAAGGTGGTAGGAGCACAACAAGGGTTGTTATTTTACATAATGTTCTTCAAGAGTTCCTCAGATCACCAGACACTAACATACAAAATTGTCCCAATCCTATGGATGTTAGCTGTTTTGTTCCAAGAACTTACGGAATTTGTAGCACAGTCATCTTAGTTATCCTAAGCGTGATTATACAATTGTAGATATAACTTTCATTATTAAGACTATTGTCAGAATGCTCAGTCATTCTCTCTTTCCTAAGATCCAGAAGCGGGAAAGCAGTGAGGTTTTAGATACAATTGCCAATCGGATAGGTCAGCTGTTGCTAAACACCAAATTCTAGCTAAATGAGTGGGTGCACACAGATGACCTTCCCTTTGACTGCATTTTGAATATGATTGTGTTGATTTGCTTTTGAACTTCTGGCTACCTGCGGTGTCTGGCAGAGAGGAAAAAGGTGAGAGAATAATGTTGGCTAATTCTGTTATTTGTGCTTCTCTGGGTTTCCATACACAGTTTTAATCCCCCAGGAGGATCAGAAAAGCTAGGTTTGATTACAGAGTATGTGGCAAACACCTGTGAGTGGTTCTGTGGGAGCCTGGTGGAGACTGGGCTCAGAAGAGAGAGGGTGGCACTTGTAGGATGTCCAGTAAGCACACAGGTGGAAACGTGGAAGAGAAAATAAACAAACCAAACTACGGGGAGATACCAATGCCCAGAATACAAACCTCTATCAGTATATATTTATTCATACTAACATGTCTATATTTATAAATTGAGAAAGCTATTCAGCTATAAGAAAATTTCTCTGACAAATAATATACACTGATTCAATCCATTGAAAATGGTAGTTATTGGGGTTATAGGCAAATCTTATTGATTTAGAAAAGCTGGGAAAGAATCTGTATTAATTAAAGATTAGTTTCCTGCCATCTGATAAATTTCTGTAACTGCACACTATCTTCCTATTATCCTAAATATTAATCAACAACAGGAAAGAATATAACTACACATATAAAGTGCTTTCAAGTTCAACGTATTGAAATTTCAAATTTTAAATTGCACCTACTTTCAGAAAATAAATCATTAATAGAATCAAGACACTTCTAATATAGTAAGGAATGCAGCAATCAGAGATTATTGAATATCATGGCTGAATTTAGCCTCTGAATATATTGTAGGCTAGATCACACATATCAGGTGCAATTCAAATTGTTGCTATGTTTAATCAAATTAGAAAAGAAAGTCATTGCTTTCTGATTTTAATTGACTGTTTGTTTTTCCATGTAATAACTTACAACCAAGGAATATGTGCAACATACAAATTCAAAGATAGACCTCGGTGAAAGTGGGACCAGAGATGAACCTCAAACTGGACATACTGGATCATGAGACTTCAGGCATATCTGTAACCATGTAATCTGGGAGGCTGAGGCAGGAAGATCAGAAGTTTGAGCCTAGCCTGGGCAACTTTGTAACTTAGCAAGACCTTGTCTGAAAATAAATAAAAGAGTGTGGGGGCTGTGGCTGTAGCTCAGTACATTGCCGGTGCATTCAAACCCCATTACAGGGGGGAAAAAGTGAGAGACTCCCATGACAATGCAAAATGATTCACCAAACTTAAAGATACTATGAAGAAACTCAAAGTCCTTCATAACAGTACTGGTATTATGTGAAAAAATAAAACTCAGAAGGTAACACTATGCAATGGACCCTAGATCATTTCTCTATATTCTCACCAAGTGATAACCACTAGTATGTGTCATGAGGTAGAACTTTTTGAAGGCAGTACAGGGCTAGAGGTGTAGGTCAGCTGTAGCGATAGAGCACTTGCGTAACAAGCGCCAACGCTCTGGGTTCAATCCCCAGCACCAAGAAGGATGGAAAAGACTCGTAGGGATTCACCATCATGCCTGAAAGCTCCAATAGCAGGATCAGCTTGGTGCTGCAAGAAAGTAAATCACACTGTTTCCTGCTCAAAGTGCAGAAATTATGGGAGTGACCTTTAACTTAAATATCATCATCATAATTATTACTGTCATTATTATTATTATTATTATTATTCTAAGAATTAGATTTTCAAGACATGACTTACCAGGATAACATTTAGATTTTTTGTTTAAATACAAAAACTTTATTAAAAAAAAACCAACCAAACAAACAAACAAAAAAACCCACTTCTTTCCATGACAGCCTAATGCAGTGCTCCTAAAGAATTTCTCCCTGCCTTATGTCAGATCTAATCTTAGCAAAATCAATGTTCTGTCAGACTGATTGACATCATGGCCCCAAGTACATTAGAACAATTTAAAACAAACCTGTGGAAGGAAAAGGACAGCGGAAGAGAGAGTAGTTTCTTTAATAAGACAAAAGCAATCTAGGATTAAGTTTTGTAGACCTAGAGATGTTAAAAGTTATTGATATGATAATAACATGAAGTAACTACCGCAGTCTTGGGTTGCTTCATTTTTCTAAAAGAAATCAGCTCTGCATAAATCCATTAACAGAATAATATTCTTAATAGGAACATATATTAGCTACTGTGACTAAGGTCTGGAATTATTTCTGCAATCTCTGGTGCTTTATGAATATGCTAGAGTTGTTTTCCAAAGACATAAATAAAAACCAGCAGCAACAGATCACATATATGTTCTTACTGTCGCAAATGACAAGATGTCTTAATTCAGCTCAGTTTAAAATGATAGATTGTAGTCCCCCCGAAAAAAGCTTCTAAATGCCACAGGCTTTGTAATGTACCAATAAAAGGCAAACCCCAAGTTTTTCCTAGCTGTGATTAAGGTTCAAAATGCACAGCATAAGGGATTATTTTCATAAGTGGCCAGAAATAAAGTGATACGTACAGCAACAGATGAAGAAAAGATGTGAAGGTGTTGGAAATACTAAATACCAATCACTTAAATGAAAATTGTCACATCATCACGCATACTGAAAACACCTGTGGATCCCTCTTTTATAACTTGGAGAATTAATTTGAAAGAAATCGTTACTACAATAATGGTTTAAAGCAGCGATAAAGTGGAACATTTTACCTACTACACAGAGAAAAAGGAGGAGAAAAAAAAAGCTGGCAAGCTTTCTAACTGGCTCTGTTGTGCATTGACTGGAGAGGGTGAGGAAAATGAATAGCAGCTCTGTTGCTGGAGGGCAACGTCCTGTGTCCAAGGGGCCCAGGGGGGCTTGCCAAAATTTGCCAGTCAAGTTTAGAATGCGTCCAAGCAAGGCACATACACTTGCTTGAGCAGTAAAAACTCCACGTCATCCCAAAACATTAATCTCTGGTAATATTAACACTGCTCCGATCAAGATGTATTTGGATTTTTTCAGAAGCTCTGATGAGAATATTCAATGCAAAATTCCCAGTAATAATTTCTTTTGTGCTTTCTAATAATATTGTTCAATTAACAAACAATATAGATGCAAAGTTGATGCTTATGATAAGGAAATCAGAAGAGGATCAAACTTTTAGCTTACAGAACACCACAAAACTGCGCTGTAAAATGTGTTAGACTATCAAAATAGCAAGTAAATAAAGGCGTCCATGTCACTGACAGTTAAGACAAGTCTGCCCTCTTAAAAGTGATGCTATATTTCATATCAAGTGATATAATATTTTAAAGAAAAGCCTCTCAATAAAACTGAAGAAAAGCTACAGTGTGAAAAACCTCAGTCAGAATCACTCTGATAATGACAAATGGAGCTGAATCTTTCAGGATAAACCTCCTAGGCAAAGCACAAACGCAAAAATGCTCTTTGGTAACTCATCTTTTTCCAAGAGATTACTAAAATATAACCTACTCTAAAGAAAAGTTTAGGCTTTTTCTAAAAACAGACACTACTTGAAATGTTTACGAAGGAATGAACAGCACCCTCTTCAGAAATCTTTTTCAGATATTGACACCATTGGTATTGAAGAACACATTCCATAACAAAGCGAAGTGTGAACTCTTTCACCTACCATCAAATTTCTTGTGCCGCGACACAAAAGTAGTTCGTACAAAATGGCTTGTCTCTTCCACAAGGTTTTCGAACTCCAGTTTGCTTTGCTGGCTTAACTTGTCTTCCATCTCTGTGGTACAGCATGTATATTCCTGAGGACAAATTCTTAAATGCTCCCCTGCAAGCAGAAAGACAGAAACATTAGTATAAGGACTTTGGGTACATTTCACTGCTTGAAAATGGGGTACTCATCCCATGTACATCTCCAGCCATCTGCCCCGCACTCTAGGCCGGTCTCAGCATATGTACACAGTCACATCCAAACACCTAATGGAGTTAAATTGAAGTTGATACTGTACTTAGTATCTGTCTCCCTTTCAGATAAGTGAAAGTGTATCAAAACCTTCTCTCATGGTTTATGTCAGTGGCCGCCAAGCTTCATACAATTATGGACTTGAATAAATCTAGCACTTGTGATTGGTTCATTGTCTAGCTCAGATTGGTGGTGTCAGTGCTACACCCACCTAGGGGTGGAGCCAGCATATGATGTAACTGTGGGAAGAAGGTGTGTCTCCCTCTCTCTCTCCTGCTAGTTCCGCCTTGTTGTTTGTGGTGGCCATGAACATTTGTTCTGCTGTGCCACTCTGCCTTGGAGCCCACTGAGTGTGGATTGAAACGTATAAGACTGGAAGAAATAAAACTTATTTTCCCCAACTTTGGGCATCAGGTATTTTGTCTCAGCGAGGAGTGAAAAGTAACTAAGACACCTTCCAAGTCCTGTTTTTGTTTTTGTTTTTGTTTTTCTTGCTTTCATTTGAAATGTCCCAAGTAACACCAGTTGACAACATATATCATAGAGTCTAAGTGTGCTTTTTTTTGGAAACTTCAACAAGGGCAAAAGACAGTCCACTCCCCTCGGGCTGTTAGTCAGGGAGGCTGAGACAGTGGTAAGAAATGCTTATGTTCTTCCCCTGTTTGTCTGTAAGTGGGCACCGCATGTATAAGCTTCTCTCTGGGTGAAATGATGGTTTTTAATGGCAGGTCCCCTGTGCCACACATTCTTCAGTTGATATTTCTTTTCAGATACAAAATGTTGTCCTGGAAGGTAGAAACTACTGATGGGTATAATTAATGCTTATGTCATATGGAAATGTACAAAGTGAAGGAAGGTTTTGCATTTAACTCAGCAGGTTTATCTTTGGGTGTACCAGGCCACTTGTTTTGACAGGAGTGCTTTCTTTAGTGCTATTTGCAAGTAGAAGCCAATGCTTTGCTTCTTGCAATTAAAATGGTCTGTTATTGCATAAAATGTGTATTTCCATTGGGCGCAGGTCAGTTTGTGTCAAAAATGTTTATCAGTCGCTCAGGAGGGAAGAGGGAAAAGCCACTCAATATCTTACCCAATAAAATCAACAAATTGCTCCTGAGATTAAAGGAACTATAGAACACTTAAAACAAATGAACATGGTACTAGGTGCTATGATTATAATATTGTTTATAATATTTAACACTACATATAATATTTATAATATTTAACAGTACATATAAAAATCCATCTTAATATACCTGAGTGAAGTACAGGGTATTTTATGATTGTTATGTTATTTGTAATTTAAGCCATTAGTTAGAACATTAGTGTAAAAATAATCAAAAGTATATATTAATGTGAGATTTTATATAACTCTTATAAACGAAGGAGACCTTAAAATTACACACATATTTTTAAAGGGAAAGGAAATACATAATTCTTAAGTGTGATAAACATCAAATTCAGGTTAATAGTTTCCTCTTAGGAGGGATTAGGCTCTGAAAAAAATGTTCTCTTGCTTTTATCTGCAATCTTCTTTGAAAGGTATTTGACAGAGACATAGGGTTTAATATATTATTTTTACTTTCATTACATGATTCAAATATTTTGTTATAAAAATTTGGAAGTATGTCATGAAAAAGTGGTAGGCATTAGCTTTGCTAGAGAGGAAAGTGTGCAGAAAAATGGAGAAAGGAAAATGAGCTGCCCTGGCATTCTGAAGCGAGTCTAACCCTCACGTTCTCCTGCTGCATTAAACTGTGGCCGAGAATACGCGCCACAAACAGAGTGACTCAGAGGCCACCATAAAATGACACCAAGCAAAAATACCACATGACTTTGTCTAAGCATAGAAAACAAGGTCACTGTGTCAACCAATAAAAAAACAAAAACAAATGCCTACTTTTTGGCCAAAATGACACACTGATTATTTTTCTTTTAAAAATCACATATACATTTGTCTTTGTATTAGTTTCCCAAATTTTCAGTGGGATTTATTGTGAAACCTTATAATCAAATTACCTTATTACACAATATCCCCACTTTATAATAGCAGCCAACCTAGGGTGAACCCTTAGTTCTTTGAATCTTGCCCTAAATTTCCCAACCAGCCCCACAGTCTATGGCAGATTCCTCCTTCTTACTTGAACAAATCATTGTTTTCCACCTCAGTGGATGCCAACCAAATGTGTTCAACTACAGGTGCATTTGACATCGTTTTCTATTCAAAGGATTGACAACTCCCAAGTTCAAGAATTTTGAAATTCTTTTCAAAGCAATTCTGACATCCATCTCCCACCAAGAAGCAGGTTTTTAGAGCCTCAGACGCTGGGTGATAGATGAGTCTTACTATCAAAGATAAACAGTCCACAAATCACTGGTTTTAAAAAAAAAATAAATCTAGCTTAATTGATAAGGACAAAAGCTCACACAAACATATGTACATGAAAAATCTCTTAGTGTCCCAATAACTTTCATATTAACATTGTAATTTATTTCTCCATAAAATGAGAAAAGTATGATTCTGATCACATCATCTTTTTTTTAATATCCATGGATATTTAAAAAAAAATAAGTCTTCCCTTATCATCAACATAGCTGATAAGAACAGTGAACTGATGAAAATATTCCACCAAAGGAACCATCATTATTGGAGTACCTAATAATGGGTTTGTGACTATCATGCAGATTCATGATTATATTTCCTTTAATTCCATTTCCCTTTCAGTGCATTCTTTAATTTCTATCAGAGGCACAGTAGAATGCACTATCACTTTTTTTGGCCTGGTTCTTGAGGAATGGTTTTCATTTTCAATCCTCTGCAAAATGTTGAGGAAACAAAAACTGATTCTAGTTTAGTTTTACTCGTATGAAGCATTATCAATTTAAATTACTTTCCTAGTCCTCCACGCTTGACAGTCTATTGTTCTCGTCTTGTCAGGAATCCGATACAAAGGAAGGGAATCGAGTTGACTTCTTGGGAATATCTCTAGTTCTATGAACAATGTATTCAAATACTCCTCTGAATGCCTGAGACAACATCTTAGATATATTTCCATGGCATATTATGCCTATGCCCACACACCGCATGAAATAATATGGTATAATGTTACTCCACCAAGAACTAATTAGCTTTGTTTCACTTGATATGAAATACTGACTTGTTTGGAATTATAAGAGATTATAATGTTTCTAATAGGTTTTAATTTCAAGAAGGTAGCTATATGGGGATTCATTGACAAATACTATGGAATTATTTCCAGGGATCTGTTTTTCTACCAGAAATCACAGCTCAGTCAGCTATGAGGGCATTCACTTATGATCCTAGCCCTCAGGGAGACTACACAAGAAAATTCCAAGTTGGGCAATTTAGCAACTTAGTGAGGTCCTGTGTCAAAAAACAAAACAAAGCAAATAAAACAAAACAGGCTGGAAATATAGCTCAGTAGAAAAGTCCTGAGTTCAATCCTCAGTACTTTTCAAAGCCCCAGTTCAGTTCTCATGGGTCAAAAGCAAAATACAGATTTGATTTCCTAAATCATGAAGAAATGGCCACTGATAGCCATCAAACAACCTCATGATACCAAATGTTTGAGAGGTTGAGGGAGATGCATTCTGCTTGGGTTTCATTTTTTTCCATAGAACAAGGGTCTATAATCCAAGGGCTCCATGCCTAACATGGTCTACCTCTGTTTTTGTAAAACTTGTCAGTGAGGCTTGGGGAAATAAGATAAAAAAAATAGTATTTTACGCTGCTATGTGAAAGTTCCATGAAGTTCAAATTCAAGTGTCCATGAAGAATTTCATCAGCCATGCCCAATCATTCCTGTGTTGTCAGTGACTACATCAGTATTAGAACAGCATTAACAGGTGTGACAGAGACAGTGCAGGCCACAAGACCTGAAATAATTTTTTCTGGATTACTAGAATCTACTTTGCCATATGAAGAAAGCAGCTCTAATCCTTTTTGTTCCAATTTCTCCAAATGGCAAGAATATGAATATTTTCTTAGTCTGGACACTTCTCAATATTGACAAGTATTTGGTATATTCATGAGATTATTTAAAAGTTATAAGGGTGGGGAGTATTGTCCTTTAAAGATTTCCTGGTCACACTCCTTTCTCAAAATGCCTTTAGTTCTTTATAACACACCGAGTTTGTAATTAGATAGGAGAGTTAGCTAAACTGGAGAAGAGCTAGTCATATCAAAACCCATTAAAAATGAAGTCATTCGGTACTGATTAGAAAGCTTCTATGAACACATCATTATGACAGGTTCAAGGCCAGCAAGATGAGACCCAAGACCACATAATTAGGACCACATAGGTTGAAGCTTCTTAGGATACTTGTTAATGCCAGTGTATTCCCTGAGTCTCTGCATTTGTAAACGCTCTTTCGTAGGTTGAAAGTAAACAAGGGGTATCCCAAATTGAATGAAGAGAGTTTTATCAGGAAGTTTCCAAATAAACTTGGGGAAATACAATCAGATCATCAATTAATTGTCCTCTGTTTGCCAAGAAAGAAGAGATGGTTCTGTTCTTGCCTCTGGGTGTCCCTGCAATTATGTGTCACTCTTTACAATGTTGTGATTACAGCAGAAATGTGGTACTGCTAGGTACCAGTCCCTCCAGAGATATTTCTGGGTTTGAAAACTACAGGAATAGATTTGGTGAGTGTCCTGGTGGTAAAAAGCAACAGACAAGAGGACCTGTTAACCACACAGCCAGTCCCTGTGGGTTCACCACTGCAACTTCTACCCTCAAAGGGGCACTTGGGAACCTTGCAATGCTCATTCAAAACAAACAAACAAACAACAACAAAAACACAAATGAAGTATGCAGAAAGAGTGACATTTCACAGAGCTCAGCCAA